CCCTAAACCCTAAACCCCTAAATCCCTAACCCCCTAAACCCTAAACCCCTAAACCCCTAAACCCTAGAGGTAATCCACGTGGACTACTCCATCTGCTTCGACAGAGGGGCCCGGCTCAGGGTGCCAGAGCGCGTGCCTTTCCGCTGCCGGGTTTGATATCGGGGCCTTCAGAATGCGAATAGGGTTTTGGGGCCCAGTATACTATAATTATCAGAAGAATATAGGGGCCTTCATAATGCGAACAGGGTTTTGGGGCCCATTATACTATAATTAGAAGAAGGAATATAGGGGCCTTCATAATTCGAACAGGGTTTTGGGGCCCAGTATACTATAATTATAAGAAGGAATATAGGGGCCTTCATAATTCGAATAGGGTTTTGGGGCCCAGTATACTATAATTATCAGAAGGAATATAGGGGCCTTCATAATTCGAACAGGGTTTTGGGGCCCAGTATACCATAATTATAAGAAGAATATAGGGGCCTACATAATTCGAACAGGGTTTTGGGGCCCATTATACTATAATTATAAGAAGGAATATAGGGCCTTCATAATGCGAATAGGGTTTTGGGGCCCATTATACTATAATTAGAAGAAGGAATATAGGGGCCTTCATAATTCGAACAGGGTTTGGAAGGCTCAAACCTGCCACTACGGTTTGCATTGGGGTGCTACGGAAAAAAGGTTTTGGTAGGTCCAGGTAGGATTGCGGTTTTGCCATGTTAGGGTTGCAATCACTACATCAGAAACTACAAAACCCTGAATTAAAGCCTGAACCCTAGATTAAGTTGTCATGTACCCTGAACCTTAGTAAAATCGTAACACTTCAGCCCCTCATCATCTTCACACTGCGGGGTTCGGCTGAGGCCTCTCGCGCTGCATGGTGCACGCGCTGGGCGCCTTGGGCGTCGCGGGGCCTCTGCTGTCCACGACGCTCGGCTACAACCATCCCTGTCTTGATCGAAGCAACATGTAATCCAAGCCATGAGCCCAAAGACATTGTGGTAATCAGGACCGTTCGTGGCAATGATCGTAGATCTTGCAGAGTGCAACCTTAGAAGCTCTTAAAAGCTAAGTTATCTAACGCGCTATAGTTATGGTTTTAGTAGAATGTCCCCCAAGAAACTGCTCTAGCCATTAAGGTCCCTATATTGCGTATCATTCCTACCCTCTCAACACCTTATAAAGCCCTAAGCTTTACAACCATTCCAGAGCAGACTGACTAAACGAGCCTTAAACCCCAAGTTCTGTTTAGCTTCAAAGCCTCTAAACCCTGAACCCCTAAACCCTGAACCCCTTAACCCTAAACCCCTAAACCCCAAACCCTAAACCCTAAGTAGGAGGCAAAAGAACCCGAAACCCTAAACCCCTAAACCCTGAACAGTAGACCCAAACCCTAAACCTTTGAGGGAAAACCCTAAACCCCAAGCCCCTAAACCCTGAACAGTAGAACACCTACGTCTAATTAGGATAGGGTTTCGGGGGTTCCTTGATACGCTTATAGTATAATATACCCCAAAACCTTTTCTAATCCTGAACCCTAATCCCTAAACCCATATCCCTGAACCCTAAGCCCTAAACCCCGCAACCCTAATCCCCTAAACCCTAAACCCTAACCTAAACCCTAAACCCCAAAGCCCTATTCTAATTCTTAAGCCCTTTGACCGAGGATGGAGCTCGGCCTGGGACTCTTGGCCGAGTGGCAAGAGCTGCTTGTCCACAAGGTCTCTGCAATCGTAGGGTTTAGGGTTTATAGTGGGTTTAGGGTGTTTAGGGTGTAGGGTTTAGGGTTTAGGGTCTAGTTTTAGAAGTACCATAGAATAGACATGATAGTGATGGCAATTCCAACAGCCATTGTACTAGCAATAGCCAGAACAGATTTAATAATATCTATGATACGAACCATGTAGCCCTCCGCCTGACCAGGTTCGTCATAACCATAGCACTACTAGTGCTATTACTATGCCTACTACTTAATGATAATGATGATGATACTTGCAGCAAAATACAATAATCATCATATTAATTTGAGTGGGCTCTATAGATTCAGAAACTTGGGGCAGTGAATGTTCTAGACTCATGATATACGGGCTCGATGCTAATCTTTGGGGGTTGTATAATCAAACAATGTACGTATGGATACCTTGTAGAAAGCAGAGTGTTTTTTGCCGAAGCTTTGTCAGGGGTGTCTGTTCTTTCTGGCAGGGTGTCTTGTTGCAGGTGCCCTTTAGGGTTTAACGGGGCGTTTAAGGCTGTTTCACAGTCACTAACAGGGGTTTATGTTGGATTCGCGCTTTGAAATTGCTTGTAGAGGGCCTCTCCGGGATTCCGGCGCAGGTTTGTGATTCTGTCGGTTCAGGGGCATTGGTGTTTCCTTCATCCCGATCCCGGAAGCGTAAAGCCCATGCCACCTGCTGTCTTTGTATCTGGAGCGAGTGCTTAATTAGAAGGTCCGAGCGTTGCGGATGAGATCTGGCACTTGGATGAAACCAACAAAGAAATCTCGCGGGGGAGCGGTTCCTCAATTCTTGAACGCTTTGGGGGTCCTTGGTAGACATGTTAGAGGATTACAGTCGCTTTTGCGCACACCTCCAGTCCCAAAGCCGCCAAAAAAGCTCCAAGTCTTCAACTATCAGGGTCTATAGGGTTTAGGGTTTAGGGCCCAAAGCTGCAAAAAGCTCAGGCTTTTCGTGGCTCTTGCTGGGCCATGCCTTCTTCTGGCCCCAGTGAACGATTGGCTCTACCCAGCAGCTTGTCGTGGTTTGAAGGGTGCCAGACTTCAGGGCTCAAGTTCTAGTATACTATATGTAATATCTATAATATACTATAAGTTCTATAATATACTATTATAGCTATAATATACTATAATATAAAATCTCGAATATACTATAATATTTATAACATACTATACTGGCTACAATGAACTATGATGGTACTTAAGGGCTATGTAACCCTGTATACGCCTGATAGTAGCCATAAGCCAGATACACACAATGCAGGCAGCTGGGCCTTTTCAGAATCATTAACCCTTGCAACACCCAATTAACTCCATAATACCCTTGTGGCGCGTATAGAACACTCTTTCGATACATTTGGGGTTTGGGGTTCAACGTCCAAATGGTGCGCTTTAGGTGCGTTCAAAGTCTCGGGCTCCGGATTCTCTGTGTTTGAAAAAAAGGCTTGTGACCTGGGGTGGATCTTGGGTTGGGTTTTTTCCCTCGTTTTAGGATCTTGGATTCGGGGTTTGGGTTTGGGGCTTTCGGGTTTCCGGGTCTTTGGTTTGGGTTTGGGCTTTGGGGCACTTTAGGTTGAGGGCTTTCGGCCTTAGCAAAGGGGCTAGACCATTATACGAACCCGTAGATGGGGCCTTAGTAATCAGAATAGGGTTCGTTGAAGCCTGGAGGAGGAAACCCTAAAGCCTAAACCCCAAACCCAAGCC